GGTACCCGACGAGCTCCCTTGCTCGAAAACCACATTGGGATTCCTTCGAGGTGGCGTTGTATCTAACACCAGCTTAAAACGTGGCAATTCGACTTTGGAGAAGTCTGGGTTGACCATGTTGACACCAAGCACTTTGGGGAACGGATCAGTGTCCACCAACATGGCATCCTTCTTCGCCTCAGGGAACTTGATGCGTCCCTTATCAATGGCATCCTGCAAGACATTACGGAACACCACACACGAATCAGTGGCATGTGACATGCTATTATGCCACTTACAATACTTTTTCCCTTTTAATTTCTCGGGTGAGGGAAAGACATGCCCCCCTGTCAACTTGACTTGACCATCCTTATAGAGTTGGTCAAAAATCAAGTCTGCCTTGGAGACGTCAAAGGAGTACTTCCTTGGCTGAATGGGAGCACGATTGGGTCTCCCCCCTTGTGGTCCCTCTTCAACTTTAGACAAGGAAGCACATATGTATGGCTTCCCTGGAGTTATCTCAGCCAAGTCTACCTCAACCTCATTGGCCTCGTGGCCAATATGATTGATGGTATAGTCTAAGTTTGGGAAGTATGGTCCCCTTGATGCACTCCTACGATTCTCTTCCTCATGTAAAAGAGACTCATACCTCACAGCACAAGACATGAGTTGAAATAAATCAGAGAACTCCCTATCTTGGAATTTTTTCCTTAGTTCAAAACTCAAACCCCCTTGTGCCAGCTTGATGAACTCCCTCTCCGTCAAATTAACAAAGCAACGGTTACGGGCATTCTTGAAGTTAGTCAAGAAATGCTCAACCGATTCCCCTGGCTGTTGGCGCATACGTGCCAAGTCAGCCATGGACACCTCGGGCTCAGATCTGTAAAACTGAGCGTGGAAGACTTGTTCCATCTGTTGCCAAGTCTGGATGGAGTTAGACGGCAAGTTGACGTACCAAGCAAAAGCTGGTCCTGTCAACGAGTTTCCAAATAGTCTTAACTTAACAAAATCTCCTACATCGCCACATTGGACAGTGAAACGTCCAACGTGCTCTACAGTGGACTGATCTCCAGTCCCTGTGAATGTGGCAAACTCGGGAACTCTGAATCCCCTTGGAAACGGGTAAAGTCTATCTACCCATTCTGGGTACGGCTTACGGTATACAGGTGGCATAGCAGGTCTTACTCCCATGCCAAACTGCTCCGTGAGGAGTTGAGCCACCTGATCTCTAAGAGTGTTGGCCTCATGCCCTCCTTGTTGCCCCGCATACGGTACAAACCCAATGGGGTCCATGCCATGCCCATTGAAATGGGGTGGCATTGGAGTCGGGTAGCCTCGAGGTGGGATTTGATCCATGTTACCACCTAGGCCTCCTCCTACTCCCAAATTCACCGGAGCCACGTAGGGTCTTGCCTCCGGGATAGAGGGACGAGCACCCACTTGCACGGGTGGCTGCTCAACTCGAGTGTTGAACATGGTGGCGAGGTTTTCACCACGCGGGGGTACCACTTCCACTCCCACGCGTGCCTGTGACGATTCCCCCACTTGAGTTGTAACAGGAATCTCAACATCGCCTACTCGACGTGGAGGTGGTTGGCTTGCCGTTTGAGGCGGCAAGGTCTCTTGCCGTGGTTGGCCATTCCGACCACCGGCGGGAGAAAGAACACTATTAGTAGGCGTTAGGCCTATGCCATCTAATGGCAAAGCTCTTGACTGCACTACTGGTCTACCTAAAGACTGTCGGAGTTGATCCACCTCATTTGCATTTTTGTTGACTACTTCAAGCAATTGACTAAAACGTCTATCTAGGCGAGAATTGAGACAGTCTATCTGAGAATTTACCTGATGAGTATTTGCCCGAGTCTCTTCCAACATGCGGCGGTTCTCCATCTGCATTTGGCGGTTCTCCTCCGTGGCTTGATGGGTGTCAGCCACCATCTTGCGGTTCTCCTCCATCATCTGACGAAGGGCCCCCACGGCTTCACCAAGATCTCCACCAGGAGCAGTCGCCACCAAGGTCTCTGCTCCACCATTTCCTCCGGCAACCGCGTCAGATGCTTGGCCATGCTCGATGTTGGCCACCTGATCCTCCACGAATCCAGCCGGAACGTCACCTTCCAGATTCCTCCGCCTCGGAGCCATCGAATCGACCACAAGGGTCCCACCAGGTGTGCCAAATTTGTTTCCCTGTGAGAAACTTGCGTTGAAAATAAATTGATTGCACCTTTGACTTCTTTGGACAACGATCACTAAACACGGTTCACGCCTCTTCAAACACAGTTCGAACGAGGGTGTTCGATGTTTACACGACTCTCGAGACAGATCTACATTAAGTTACTCCTACTCCTATGGAGGTTCTGAGAGAGCTCCAGACCTACGACTATTGATAAAAATTTGCAGAGGAAAGACAAGATTGAAAAACTTGACAAGTGGTGTCGAGTGGTAATTTTTGCGGGGGCTCTTCTCTGTCGCTCTATCCTCTTATTTATAGCCTTGAGTGGGTAACTGTCGTAGAAAAACTGCCTCGGATAACTTCCAAAAGGAACTGCCCCCTGCTTCTTCGGAACGTGGCTGAAGCAACGTGGCTGACGTGTCCTTTGAACGTGGGATGAGTAGCAGTTATCTCTCAACCGCTTATGTGCCTCTCTTGAAACCGTCGTAGGAGCTTGTAGCATGCCTCATATATCACGGTCATGGACTTCTTTACTCATGTCCATGGCCCTCTTGGGACTTAGTCTCTAGTGATATAATATTTCATCCCCATGTCATTCTCCTTCGCGTCCATGGCCCCTCTCGTGAGGCGGCATGGCCTCTCGTTTGCACCCATGGACCTCTCAATCATGGACATGGCCTCCCTCATGAAGCAGCAAGTCCTTCCCTATACTTAGAATATTTTCGGTTGTTTGGTTTAAATCATGAGGCGACATTGTCTCTTTATTCGCGACCATGGACTTCTCATTCATGTCCGTGGTCATCTTGTCTCGTGTCCATGGCCGTCACATATGACACGGCCATGGACCTCTTAATCATCCACATGGCCTTATATTCTCATACTTAGAATATTTTTGTCATACCGGGCCTTCCTTGAGATAGCATGTGCTTCTTTATTCTAGATGGACGTGTTCTTCTTTGATGAGGCGGCATGGCCTCTTCGTTGAGGCGGCATGGCCTCTTCGTTGAGGCGGCATGGCCTCTTCCGGACTTAGTTAAATTTTCCCTCCTTCGGTCTTATTGGTGAGGCGGCATGGCCTCTAGATTTAATACGGACGCAACTCTGTTTGATGATGCGGCATGTCCCTCTTTAGACTTAGTGGCTTGGGCTTAAAATCAATATCCATAAGGCCCAACTTAAACAACATTAATTGTTATAATGGGGGTGGCCTTATAAACTCATTAATTATCTTGTAATTCACCAATGTGGTACAAGCCAACTTTTATGGTGTAAACAGGTTAGGATTTTAGTCATGGGTTAGGATTAATATCTCTCTTTCATATAATCGGTTTCCATTTGAAGTTTTTGACTTGAGTGCTAACTGTTCTGTTCCTATCAATTCTACAGGTTGGAAAAAGCAGGCATGCAGGTCTGTTGGGCTGTTCAGAAACTCGGAACTTGAACAACAATGTTATCTTTACGCAGAGGGTGAGTTGAGTAATGAATTGTTTAGTTGCACATATGTTCTTGCTTACTTCATCTACTGAAGTTGGACACAAACTTTTTCGGATACCATTGCTAACTGCTTTCTCATCATGAATTGCTTTTTTCTTTCTTTAGGTTTTTCAGTAAGCTATTGCTGAACTGCAAATATTGGGCGACGAATCATACAACGAACTTGATGCATACGAGATTTATGTCTAGTCACTCTTCATCTAGAACTCGACGTTTGAGTTCTGCTTTCACCTTCTCCCTTAGTTTCGGAGTTTTGATCAATGGTTTCAAATATAATTAAGGGTAAATACAATTTAATATCCAAACCTTTTATTTTAAACAATATAATAGTCAAACCTTTTCGAAAACAATCTAATATCCAAATTGTCAACTTTCCGTTCGTTTGACCATTAGTTGACACTTCAAGAAAGCTTTGTTTAGGGGAAATTGTCACAATATAAATTTGTTTTCTTGTTTTGGCATTGCAGATGACTGAATATTTAGATATTCTACACCATCATGGTGGAGTCATGGACTTCTCGGGTTTGGAACTACGATATGTTGGTGGTTTTTCAGAGAAGATATCGATGGATATTGATGAAGTGTCGTACTTCGAACTTTTTTGAAGTGTCAACTAACGGTCAAACATACAGAAAGTTGACGATTTGGATATTAAATTGTTTTCGAAAAGGTTTGGCTATTATATTGTTTAAAATGAAAGGTTTGGATATTAAATTGTATTTACCCTATAATTAACATTGTTTCCAAGTTTGGTACAATGCGTAAGGAGGGAGGGTTTGGTTAAGTTTAGAAAGGTTGGCTCAACGAGTGCATCACAATATCCTTCTATTTATGCACATTATTACGGTCAGTCGAGTTGGCACTAGATTCTAGTAAAGAGCTCTTGCTGTCTGTTTTGTAAGGATTTTGACCATCTTTGACCAACCATTTGTTTGGTAATATGAAGTTCGTTTGTGTTAGAAGTTTTTACTGACTATTACGACTATTATTTGCTTTGTTTGATAATTTGACTAACTGTATTTCATTTGTTTAACCTGACAAAAATTTTCCAAATACGAGTAAATGTGCTTGCGGCATAACTGTGAGTATTGATTCTAGTGTAATTAAAATTCAAACATACTCGTATAACATTGGTATTCAAATGTTCAAATTAAAATTCCTAAACGAAAAACAGAAATAGAGGCACAATTCACAAAGCAAAGAGAGAAATGATATCGTCTTACCTCGAGCCTTATGAGAATCGACCAGATGAATGTGTGGAGATCCGGTTAAACCCACGGTCGACTCGCGTGTTGACAACTTTCTATATCAATGAATTTGATATCGCCGTTGGCGTAAATAGAGGGGGACGAAGATGAGGCTCGGCTACTTCCTCCCTTCCTCCTCTTCTTTCACCTCCACCGCCATTCCTGCAAGCAGCTCCGCCATATCCATTCTACAAAATCCTCTCTTCCCCTGCGGTGTCCAGTTCAATCTCTGCTGGCGCGCGGATTCCCCTTCTTCTCCATCTCTTCTTCTCCGCCCAAGAAAAGGGTGGAGCCACAAGAGTAAGACGCAGACCACGAGATGGAGTTCTCGCATTCGCTGCTCACTCAATCCCAGCACCATACCTCCTGCTCCGACCGATTTCATAGTCGTCAACTTCTATCGGTTCGTTTCCATCAGCGACCCGCAGCTGGAAGTTGCCAGGCATCTCTGCTTCTTGCAGGTCTAGAATTTTTATCTGCAATACAATTCTCTTTCGGGAATTCACTCCTTTCATTTGAATTGATTCTCCTCTTTCTGTTCTCCGGCAGGACCTCGACGTACATGGCCGCATATATTTGAATGAGCAAGGGATTAATGCTCAGGTTTTGAATTCTTCCCTCTCGTAAAATCTTCTTCTTTCTGGTGTTCTTGTATACTGAGAGGTTTACCTTGATCAATGTCAGAACTTCTCATTCTGAATTAATTTCAGAGATTTGTGGTTGACCCCTAGAATATGCACTGAATGGTGAACTGTTTCCGTAGAAGAAATGTCAAGTATCCACAAGTTTAGCCTTAAAGTCTAGCTTTGAAAGAACAACTCTATTCAGTTGATACCATCTTTCACTTTGAGGAGAAATTCTGTTGTCAATTCAATAACAATTAGGGCAATGACAGAGTGTGTGGTATATACTTTCCCTAGTTATTAATTATCTGTCAAGTGGAATGTCTTCATGGGAGAAAGGGGGCGAAATGTTGATAATCTTCAGAGTCGTAACTAAATGTTTTCTGCATCAATCAATCCTGGTATCTCCATGTGACCCTGTTCAATCTCCCCTGCAGTACAGTGGGCCAAGAGAAGATGCTCTTGCATATGTGGAATGGTTGAGGGATGATGCCAGATTCCGTGACCTACTAGTGCAGATATCTCCTGCATTTGATGGACATGCCTTCCCAAAGTTGAAGTTGCGGTATAAGCCGTCACTGGTGCAGGCAAGAAATGCTTTCTCTGTCCTACACTTTCTTTATCCTCTTCCTGTATCGGCTTTCTAGATTTTATGAAAGGCCGCTTCCTGTATTGAATAGTCTTGCGAACGACTTCTCAATATTTTTCTAGAACACTTCATCCTCCTCAGTTTCAGGGAAACTAAGTGAGGGTGGGGTGGGTGATAGTGGGATATGCATTAATGTGGTATGACTTCTTGTTATTCCTTTTTAGTCAGCGCCTTTGTAATTATAGGCTTTGGTATCACAGTTAATGTGGGAACAAATTTCTATACTTTGAAGGTTATGATTCAGTTGGCACTAGTCGAACCTGAGGTCGTAGTTACAACAATGTTGAGGCATGGAACTTGCATGCATTTACATAGTTAATCTATGTTTTGCTAGATGGAAGGAGGCAGTTTACATCTACCTTTGCTTGACCCATCAATGCGAGCAGTACCACTGACACCTGCTCAGTGGAGGGAACGAATGGAAGCAACATCTGACCGTAACCATGTTCTATTGGATGTGAGAAATGGTAACTAGCTATAGGAATCACACCTCTGTCAATTTCTTGCTCCAATTATGTTATGAAGCAACTTAACTATAGGAATTTCACCTGTGATTCCTTTTTCTTCTGTTCTTTCTCTCAAATATGTCCTCACACTATCTCTTTCTCCAGCAGCCATATTTCCCTCTGGTTTGGCATATGGAGAAAGGGTGGACATTCCTTTAATATGCTATTTTTAGCTCCAAAGAGTGAGATAATGACATCTCGTTGTTTCTTACTCTCATATGACTGGTAGCTATTGGACGAACAATTGAGAATTGGAACTTATCTCTATGGCCCCTTTCTTTGAATAACTCTATTTTAGCTGCTCTCTTTCTGTTAGCTGTTTCTGGTCTTCATGTCACTTATTGTACATCTTCTCTCTGTGGGTTTTCTTTGGGGTGACGAAAGTGTGCTCATTTTATTCAACACGTGTAGGGTCCACTAGGGAGTAGGGACTAACTCTGTGAGTTCAAAAGTGACAATGTATAAATAAGGAATGAGTGAATAGTAAGTAGGGTGTGAAACAAGGTTAGAACCGGGTTGAGAAGCAACAACACTACAACAGATAGGTCCGTTTAGGGAGGATTGAAGGATGTCCTCGATTTGCCAAAAAGTAAGCGGTGGAGAGTTGTCTAGTCTTCGTTGGGGAGGAGATTGGGGCTCATCCAAGCACCGATGACTGAAGTGATTCTGGTTGTTTGTTGCATGACCTTTCAGTATATGAACTAATATGTTCTTATTCCTTGGACCAGGCTATGAGTGGGACGTTGGCCATTTTCAAGGTACCCAGCGACCTGATGTGGACAGTTTCAGGAATTGTTCATTTGGAATTTCTGATAAAGAGGTATTGAAAATTTTAGGTGAACTCGATTATTTCATATCAGTGTACATTTGATTGTTCATAAGTTTGTAGAATAAAGGCGTGTAATATGTGAAAGGGGAATTCTTGTTTGATATTTTCTCCATGAGACTATAGTGTAGTTTTTAGGTGCCTGGATCTTATGCATTTGAATGAAGAAGGGTTTCGACGTGAGATTTCATTCTAGTATTTAATATCACATTGCAATAGGTTGCTGGTGTCAATACAAGTTCAGCATTCTAAATTGTTCCTCTGAGCAGTCTACACCTTTTCATATCTTGTAGGTTGCTGCTTCTGATCCTTTAGCAAATGTTGATAAAGAAAAGACAGATATACTCATGTATTGCACTGGAGGCATTCGCTGCGATGTTTATTCTACCATCCTTAGGTAAATGATGTTTATTCTATCTTAATTCATCTGTTCTCCTATATCATTATATTGATGTCGACTCCAGTTTGGTTATTGCAGAGAGCAAGGTTTTCAGAATCTGTACACCTTGAAAGGTGGCGTTTCTCATTACCTGGAACGGGAAGGTTCAGCCAGATGGAACGGCAATCTGTTTGTTTTCGACGACCGGCTTTCTCTTCCACCTGCAGCTTACAGGGCTGAAGAAACTACCACAACTGTGACCAGTTCCAACCCTCGTCAAATTCATAATAGCACCAATCACCATTTCGCAAGATGCTACGTCTGCGAGTCAGAAGTCTCCGTGCTAAGACATCGAAACTGCGCCAATCCAGACTGCAACTTGCTTTTCCTGTGGGTTCATCTTGCCTGTTTAGGGCATTTGTTCAAAGAAACATAAGCAAGCCTTTGTTGTACATTGTATTAACTCTTGCTGTGTTTCCTTTCCACTTTCCAGGAGCTGTGAGAGCTGTGTGGAAGATCTCAGTGGCTGCTGCAACGAGAAATGCAAATCGGGGCCTCGCCTTCGGCCGGTTCTCCCTGGAGTTCAGAGGTACAAGAAGTGGCACGTTTATCGAGATCAGGTGGAGCCTGATAGCGAGACGAGAGAAGAGTCTGATCACATACTAGTAGCCGTCTCTCCTCAAAAAGCTTGAAAACTCCCCCTTATCAGCGTTAGCGTCAGCGTGTAGGCCATTTTGGATATTTTTAGTAATTTGGGCAGTGAACTGAGAAGAGCTAACTGGACATTTTCGATGAAAATTCTAATATAAAAAGCTTGGTTCTAAGTTTACGGTTATATGAACTCTAGTGGCAATTCAAGTGTGACACATATTTACTTGATTTTCATTTTTTTTGTTATTTTTTCTCTTTTGAAAGTGTACACATCTCTTATATCTCTTTTTATTTTAATCACATATATGAGAACTGTTTGTGCCTGGATACTTTAGAATCCGATTCCCCACCAGCTCTATTCTCGCGCAACGAGTTTCCGACGCCTGACCTGCACAAACGCACACGGAGGAGGGCGCCTGGGCTCGTTAGTCCTCCGACGATCAAGTCAGTTTGAATTTTAGAGAGAGAAGTGTCAAGCTCTAGTATATAGTGAGAGAACCAAACCTACATAAATGTTACCTACCGACTCTATTTATACTCACCCAACCCTAGGGTGAAATACATGAGATACCATTAACCTTCTCATTTTGGGGGAGATACACAACTAAAGTTAAAATAGAGCACTAGATATCACTAAAATCATTAAATTGTGCATCCGTTAAATTTTTCCATCCATGTAAGGGTTGCCTGAATAAAAAATATTTTTTTTTTGCGACAGAAGCTTGCAACATCACCAGATTTGTACTAACCCAAAACCCATTACCCAATCCCAACTTACTAACCACCCAATTTCTCTCCTACCGCCTCCGGTTGCTCTTCTGCCGTTCTGTCCTCATCGGTTCCTTCTGTGCGCTCCAACCCTAGATCCTCCTCTCCTCTCCCCGATCTCCATCTCCACTAGACTCTATTGGACTCGATTCTGGGTGGCAAGCATCGCAACTCTCCGCTCTGTCCGTCCAGTCATCGCTTCCCGTCGGCTTTGTGTTACCCACTCATCTCTCCACCCTCCCGATCCATGTACCAATCCGTGTACAGGCTATGGCATGGAGCTTCTTCTCTTGTTTTCCCATAGTTTCACTTTCAATTTCATATTCCTTATCTGGGGCTTTCAATCTTTTAGTATTGTTTTGTTGGTTTGGTTTTCTTCTTGTTCGATTTTCTGGGTCAGGTTCTGCAATTTGGACGCAATTTAGCAGAATCTTCTTCCACGACCTCAAATGCGATAGCTCCTATAGTTAAGATTCTCGGTGAAGGAAACGAAAGATGATGGCAAGGGATAGGCTGGGGCAATGGTGCAAGGCTGCAAGCTTCCGATTTTGGGCATGTTTATTTATCGGCAGTGCGTGGATCACTTACAAGTGATATTTGTCGAGCTAGGTTCGGTTGGGGAATGCGGTGGCCGAGGAGGGAGAAACTGAGAAAGGGAGCTAAATTTTTAAGACAAAAAAACGAATTCACTAATCGTTTCAGGGATGAGATACGGTGACAACCCCATTAGGAGGTTGTGAGATTGACAACACATTTTATAACCATAGGATCCATTCTCTCTCGTGTCTCTTTCTTCTTATTTTTCAAATCAATGGTACAGATTGGATTAAGGGTATCTTTGGACGAAAAAATTGACCACACTAGATTATTACCCCTACTAATACCTAAAACCCTACATTCTCTCTCTCTCTCTCTCTCTCTCTCTCTCTCTCTCTCTCTCTCTCTCTCTCTCTCACACGCCATCTTTCTTCTTCCTATTCTTCTTATTCTTCTTCTTCCTCTCATCTCTTCCCTCTCTCTCTATCGGCTGCCACCACCGTCGACGCAGCCGTCCTGCCGACCCGCCATGCCCTCCACCTCTCATCACTGCTGCAGCCCTCCGCCTCCCAGCACTGTCACGTCCCTCGCCTCGCAGCCATCGCGGCCTCCTCCTCCCACCACCACCGTCGTTGCAACCTTCCCGCCGCCCTCTGTCTCCCACCACCACCGTCGCCACGAGGTCACTACCTCTCCCCTGCCTCCCCCTTTCCTCATCCCTGATTTTTTTTTCCAGATCTGTGATTTTTCATATTTCAGATCTGATTTTTTTGTTCTAGTCTCTAGTGGTACGCTACCAGTGGCAATGGTACCGCTACCAGTGGTACCGCTACAAGTGGTAATGGTACCGTACCACTAGCACTGGTAGCGTACCACTAGCACTAGTAGCGTACCACTATCATTGGTATATTAATTACCAGTAGACTAATGGATTGGTATACTTTTCAATGCACTGGTACATTTTTTCAGGTTGCCGGAGGGAGTTTGCCGGAGAGAATTCGCCGGAGAAAAAGTCTGTCCATCGAAGCTGAGTGGCTGCGGGAGAAAGGAAGAGAGAGATAGATAGAGATATTAATGTATAGGATTTAAATTTAAAAAAAATTGTATTTAATATGGGTTTTTAATTCCCAATCTGATCAATACAAAAAGGTAATTAATATATTTCTTTTTTCATACCGAAAATACCCTTGGTTGTCAATCTCACAACCCCTTAGGGGTTGTCACCGTATCCCGTTCCATCGTTTCATAATTCATCTAATGGACTTACGACATAAGTCCTTGGTGGCAAGAAACTGATTTCTCTTTTCCTCTCTTGTATGCATCATGACACTCTGTTTTTTTTCTTCACCTTCCCCTGTTTTCTTCTTCCACTATGTATTGTGCTTCACTTTAGAATTTTTTGGTTTGAGGGGAGAAACATGTGGAGCTTTGGTTTTTCATGTCTTCTTTTAATTATTAATACAATCAATTTCACTACTGTAAATAATTTCTCATGTGTTTTTGGCGTGTTTGATGTTTCAGGGGCGGTGGAGGTGATTCTGAGAGAGAGCTGATGGTGGGTTGGTTACTTGGCTTGGGCTTTGGGTGGTTTGGTTTAATAAGTTTGGGTTGGGTAATGGGTTAGTACAAATATGGCGATGTGGCTAGTTTACGTGGCAAAAATAATATTTTTTTTATTCAGCCACCGTTAGATGGATGAAAAAATTTAACAGATGCACAAATCAATGAGTTTAGTGGTATCCGGTTCCCTATTTTAACTTTAATGGCATAGCTCCCCAAAATGAGAAGTTTAATGGTATCCCATGTATTTTACCCCCAACCCCGGATCGGGCTTCTTCCACCCAGCTCCACGTCAGCATCGCTTTTAATGCTCCGTACTTCTGTCAGGCTGGGTGCCCCGACCAACATGTCAGGCTTCTGACAGATGCAAGGTGCCCAGACCGTACTCCCTAGGAGTCTTCCGAGTCTCGTCTCCAAGCTTTCTTCATTATACTTGGGCTTGGCCTCGCGAGCCAACCCGTGGGCTGGGGCAATGGAGTAACCTTCCTCCTCATGATTGGGCCGCCTTGGGCTTTCACTTGGGCCTCTTTTTGTAACACCCCTAACAATTGCCCCCCAGTTAGGCTCTCAAGTCTTCAAAACTTGAGGGTCTGACTACACGAGTTTCTGACTATATTCAAGGGCCTCGACAAGCGTATGCAACACGAGTTTCCTCTTGACCGTCCCGATCTTCCCTTCAGAGGCACCCCGACTTTGATGAACCGCTCGCGTATCCACCTGTCGCCATCCGGGAGGCGCCCCGTACACACGTGTCATTATTCTGTTATCGGCACCTTGGCGCTATTGAGCTAGGTGCCCTTTACCTACCGGCCTTCTTCTTTGTTGCGTTGGTCGCCCGCCATTGCGTGCTTTCTCGCCTATCGAATACCGCCTTGCCTCACCGTTGAGTTGGGCGCCTGGTGATCATCAGTCTTTTCCCTAGTTTTTTCCTTTCGCCATCTTGGTTCACGCATCCTCGCTCAGTGGGACGCCCCATCCTTACGCAGTTAATGCCCCCTTTTCTCGTTATAGGCGCCTCGGTCTTATAAACCAAGCACCATAAGACCGAGGCGTCTATCAACTATTGATTTTCCTCCTTCTGGACCTAGGCGCCTGGATAGCGTGCTCCCATTGTCAACTATTGCTTTTCCTCTTTGTTCACCTAGGCGCCTGCATTGCGTGCTCCCCTTGTCAACTATTGATTTTACTCCTTCTTGACTTAAGCGCCTGGATAACATGCTCCCCTTGTCAACTACTGCTTTTCCTCTTTGTTCACCTAGGCGCTTGCATTGCGTGCTCCCCTTGTCAACTACTGATTTTACTCCTTGACCTAGGCGCCTGGATTGCGTGCTCCCCTTGCCTCCCTCCGATTTTTGAAATTCAAACATCTGCCCGGGATCGTGACACGTGCGAACGAGCACGGATCTCAAGGCGTGCCACTCTTCCTTCCTATAAATATTTCCCATTGCTCTCATTTTGTCTCCTACCTCTTCAAATCACGTACTCTCTCTAACTTCTCTCTAGCCCTCGCTTGCCTGCCGCTCTCGCGTCTTTCCTCAGTCTAATCTCCACAGCATGTCTGCTTCACCGAACCAAGCTATTAGCATAGGCGCAGCTCCTAAGCGAGGCTCCCCATTGAACCCTGGTAAGTGCCCACTTCTTTCTCGATTTTACCACTTTGTTTTGCATCCTTGATTTTTTCTTTTGAGGCATGGGCGCCGCTTACCTCGCGTTGCGGTGGTGCGCCTGCTTCGCGTTTTGCTTTTAGAGGGGGCGCCTCTGTCTGCTGGAACGTCGACCGCATCTACTCCGAGTTTCATGCGAGCGAATGGCTCGTACAAAGTCACCGCGTGGAAAAATCCTCTGAAATGTCGTTTGACGTGGTCGAGCCAGATCACTAATCTACTATGACACCTGTGTGATTGTGGGAATTGCTTACAAGTCTACAATTGCCTCGTGACTAGTGGTATGCGCTTACCTCCCCGATTACCAGAGTTTGGGTTGTGAGGCCCCAAATAGATCAAGGTATACCAGGAGTACTTTCGCTTCGGGTTGCGGTTCTCGATCGACCCCATTTTTGAGGGGATTATGGCCACTTGTGGCTACAGCTTGGGGCACCTATCACCCTCGATTATCCTGGTGGTAATTTTGTTCAAGATAAAGTGTATGGTGCACAATGTGAGACCGACATTTAACCTGTTCTGATATTTTTTCAACATGGTTACACTTGACAACTGTATATCCCTTCAGAAGCGCATGAAGATTCTGTACAACTTCGTGGTCAGGCGCCCCTAGCTGCGGAGGAATTGGTTCACGAATTCTTTTTCATGAAGGCATATCGAGACTCCTTCTTCGAAAGTGGAGGCGCCTTCTTGACTGAATGGGAGCTTGGAAACAAAAAGAATTTTAACATCGAGGTTCCCCTGTGTCCGTACGAGACCCAAGGCGCCAAACTTATATGCACTAACACCATTAACTTGCGAGTGACTGCTAATCGTGCCCGGTTTTAGCGGAATATTACAATGATAGTGTGGGGCGCCTTTGCTACTTAGTTTGTTTTGTTTTTGTCATCCAATCGTTCTGATTTTTCCCTTTCACCTTTTGCAGGGTCCGATTTCTTGAGTATTGCGAACCTGATGAAGAGCACCTTTGTGTCGGATGTGCATAAAGAAGGGACGGGAAATCTTTCTCCTTTTTTTGGGGCAGAATGCACTATATTCTCAATACCACTCTTAACCGCTTGTGCACTATCAACTTCGTGGGGCTGCCGCCTAGCTATGCTGAATGCTGGGGCAGGCGGCCCCTCAACCGTCCAGGCGCCCCCTCCCTCGTGCCAAAAAATAAGATGGCAAAGAAGACCACGGGTGGTGCCACTCAGAGCAAGGCTCCCTGCAATGCGAAGATGGCGAGCGTGGCGTCTTCGGCCCCGACTGCGGGTACAACAGAGCCGGATTATGACCCGCTCACCTTCGACGCGCCCAAGAAGGAAGATGAAGAAGCACCTCCCTTCATGCGCCGCGAAAAGATGGCAGGCGCCCCTTGTCTCATGGCGGCAAAAAGGCTCACCCCACCGAGACGGTGAAGGGCAAAGTCGCCGCGACAAGGCAGGGTGGGCACCTAGGCGCCTAGGTGGGGTTGGACGAGGAAGGGCACCTCATTGGGCCTGACGGGCGCCCTCCACTCCTCCACCCTCTTCGGACCGAACTTGGGGCGGATCACCCTGCCTTGCTCACCTCGCGTCGCTGTTGATCGAGGTTATGCGAGGGGCTTGGAGATTTATGCGACGAAGATGTTGCAGGTGCCCTCGGAGATCGATGAAGAGCACCTTTTTGCAGAGCTAGCCCAAGTGGGCGCCTAGGTAATTGATTACCTTTTCTGATATAATCAAAATAGCGTAGGGTCAAGCTTCTCGAACTAAATAGAACCGGATAGGATGGAAATCGATCAGACAGTACTCACCCGTGAATAAGGGTAATTGATATATGAATCGATCGGATAGATACAACTCGAAATAAAGGGCAATCGATATGGGTAGCTCGCCACAACCAGGGTGAATACCTAGCTGATAAGAGTCGCTCTAGCCCTCTGGAGATTCTCGACAGAGTAATTAGGGAAAATTCCGCGTAGGGAACTCGACAATAACCTCTGAAATTCAATAATAATCGTCTAAGGGCAAACCAACGTGTTCAACCCTTTAAATAGGCAAAGTACAACCGAAATCCGACTTCAACATGGAAAACAATCATAAACCGACTTTAAAACAAGGAAACTCAGAAATAGCTCAGCAAACCCGTTAAGCCCAAACCGTTAAGTAAACCCGTTAAGGCTGGACCCGTTAAGCAAACCCGTTAAAGCTGGACCTGTTAAAGCACGTCTGATTCTCGTGCCAAAGAAGGACCACATCCTCAAAAAGCATTTTACCTGGGTATTATCCCTTTTACCGCTGCGCTGCGTTTCGAAATCCCCGGCCGGACACCCGAAATACCCGATCGGGGATTATGACCGGGGATCGCGAACGCAGGCTGTTAAAAGCCTGTCTTGTGCGTTTTTGCAAGGGAAGAGATGGGTTTTGGATCCCAAACACCCAAGGGACGAACCAAAGAGAGAGATGGCAATTTGAGGGCATTCTTGGAGTGGAATTGGAGGATTTCTTCGCCTTGGAAGCTCGAGTAACAAGCCCGGACTCGAAGACTGATCATTTGAAGATTCTTACTGCAGACTCTCTCTTCTCTATGGAGTAACTTCCCTTCACTTAGGTTTTGAGGAACCCTAGCTATGTTTGTTTGATTGGATGATTGTATGAGTACTCCTACTTGATAATCTTGAGTTCATATTCAATCTATGCACGTTTTCATGATCCAATTCTGCTTTAGTCGAAATTATTGATTCTGCTTTGATCCTATGAGAGCGATTATGTATGCGTGTGAATGTTTGGCTGTTTGTGTGCTTGAAGCCTAGTCCACTGTCCAAATTTCAATTTGAGGGCTCCAAGTATGTGTTTCCTTGCAAATTGCCTGCTCGGTATGCTTTGAATTGACAGTCTCTATAGTAATATGCAACCTAGGGAGGTAGTGTAGCACTATGGAGGATGTTGAAACATAAGATTTTTCTTATCTAGTTCTCTATTGTGCCGGTTGATTTTGTGAATTAGTGGAGTTAAGACCGTTAAATTCATGTGGTAATGGTGACTCCGTTTGAATTGTGTTATGGACTCGTGTATCGAACGGGGTGCTCATGTGCGAAATGAAAAAGCAGTTGGTCCTCCATGTCGAAATCATTGAAATCTTAAACATGGTTCAAGCCCAACGTGTGTGGCACCATTCATTGCAAAAAATCGGGTTTTGGAAGAGATTTTAGTGATCCTTAGTGGGTACTCCTACAAGGTGAAGCTAAGCTGTCTCTAGTACAAGTAAAATTTTCACCGGTTTGAAAGGTTTGTCTACTCGAGGATGTGTTTTTAAGGGCACGGATAGAGCTTCCGACCCCCCTTAATTTCATTGACCCTCCACACGAGTTGAGGAAAAGGAGTTAAAAGAAGTACTCTGGCGAGCGCCAGATGTACAGAAATTTCTCTTGCTCGACTAAAAGGGTCGATCGTGCAAAAGACTGCAGTTGGAACCCCCACCAAGTGAATGAAAAGAAACAAAAAAAAGTAAAGTAAAATAAAAGTGAAAAGGGGGTTCCAACGGTGAAATGAAGTGAAAGAGCACCCCGGTACAATGAGTCCTTGGTTGTGAATGGTGTGAGTCCCTTTATCCATGAACTGGTTGTCTTACTTCCATGTATTCTCATGATCCTGGTTTGAGTCTAGTACTCGCATTGAGAGAGATAGGGGACGTCTTAGCATACTGGTGCTCTGGAACACAACACCTAACAATGGCCAAGTGTAACAAATGAAAGGGACTGCATTATAGTGGCACAAGTAATAAATATCGAATCCACGGGTCTCTAGAGTTACTATTACTCAGCTTCAGTTCATTATCTAGCAAACTAGATTAAGGATTGATTAACTAAACTAAGTAAAACTACTAATTACAGTTTGGGAACTCACTTAGGTATGATTCCCCCTAGCTCCTCAATTAGGTCCAAGTTGTAATTCCTTTTGGTTGATTTACTGTTGATTAAACTGCGGAAGACCCGACAGTAGCTCGGAATCTCTTAAGCTGACCAAGCCCTCTCAGTCTAACTATCCGGCAGACGACTAGTCTTCACCGGGATAGAAAGCTGAAGCAATAAGCACAGAACTCCACTACTGGAATTGGATTCCAGTACAAAGCAGTAAACTGGCTAACTCTCGTATAGCCAATCTCCTACTACCGAATGATGAGACTCTAGCAACCTAATCAGATTCTATCTATCTCATATTGCAGCAGGAATCAAGAAAAGTTGATCAGACTTCAATTGACTCAATAAACATGCATCATTCGATTATAATCAAACAATATAGCATCCAAAACTTCATACAAGAAAGATCCTAACTCATGGAACTAAGGTTCCTCAAAACCTAAGTGAAAGGAAGTTACTCCATAGAGAAGAGAGAGACTGCAGAAATCTGATCTAGATCTTCAATCTCCATCTCCAAGCTTGATTTCCGAGCTCCAATGGCGAAGAAATCCTCCAAAATAGCTCCAAGAATGTTCCCAAGTCGCTCTCTCTCTCTAGGGTTCGTCCCTTGGGTGTTTGGGATCCAAAACCCAGCTCTCCCTTTCCTTTGGCTCTAATCTGCCTCAAAAACCCGATTCTGGGCGAATTACGGGCTGAATTACGGTCGTAATTCTTCCATGCCCGTATTTTGCCCAAAACACGCGTTTTGGTTAAGTTTCAGCGCACCCAAAGCTCCTCTCGGCAGTGAAATTACGGGCATGGGAGGGCAAATTACGGTCGTAATTCTCCTGCCCGTAATTCTTCCTCCACCCCTGTTCAAAGCTTCGTTTCTCCCTCGTCCGGACTCCGAATCAGTCGCCGTTTGAACCCAGACGCTCGTAGTCTCGTCCTCTTTCTTTTCATAACAAACTTTCATGATTCTTTGTCCATAAAGTGAGGTAGAAATCCATTCTTCTTCAGGTCATGCTCGTGTTTCTTCTCCCTAATCGCCAATTGATCTCCGATTGACTTGAAACTTGCGCCTACGCTTCACTTTATGTGCTAGGGCCTGAAATGTGACAAAGGAACACAACCTAGCGTAAAATAGGCCAAAGAAGCGATAATGCAAGCTTAAACGATCAAGAAACAAAGGGGAAAACATGTGCAAATATCGAGTCATCAAATTCCCCCACACTTAACTGTTTGCTTGTCCCCAAGCAAACCTGAATCAAACCAATGCAACTCTCCAGACCTCTATAGCAACAAACAACCCCGATCGTCGGTAGAGGATTTCCTAGATCATATAGCAGCTTACGAGGTCAACTGGTCTTCTAAGACGTTCCCTATCTCTCTCAATACGAGTACTAGACTCAAGCCAGGACCATCAGAAGAAGTAGAAGTAAGACAGTCAGTTCATGGATAAAGGGACTCACACCATTCACTACCAAGGACTCGTTGTACCGGGGTGCTCTTTCATTTCATTTCACCGTTGGAACCCCTTTTTCACTTTCATCTTACTTTTTTTCATTTCCATTCACTTGGCGGGGGTTCCAACTGCAGTCTTTTGCACGGTCGACCCTTATTAGTCGAGCAAGAGCAATTTTTGTACATCTAGCGCTCGCCAGATTACTTCTTTTAACTCCTTTTCCTCAACTCGTGTGGAGGGTCAATGAAATCAAGGGGGGTCGGAAGCTCTATCCGTGCCCTTAAAAACACATCCTCAAGTAGGCAAACCGTTCAACGGGTGGAAGTTTTACTTGTACTAGAGACAACTTAGCTTCACCTTGTAGGAGTACCCCACTAAGGATCACTAAAATCTCTTCCAAAACCCAATTTTGTGCAATGAACGGTGCCGCACACGTTGGGCTTACCCCATGTTTAAGATTTTATGATTTTGACATGGAGGACCAACTGCTTTTCATTTTTCACATGAGCACCCTGTTCGATACACGAGTCCATAACACAATCCAAACAGAGTCACCATTACCACATGAATTCAACGGTCTTAGCTCCACTAATTCACAAAATCAACTGGCACAGCAGAGAGCTAGATAGAAAAAATCTTATACTTCAACATCCTCCATAGTGCTACACTACCTCCCTAGGTTGCACATTACTATAGAGACTGTCAATTCAAAGCATACTGAGCAGGCAATTTGCAAGGAAACACGTACTTGGAGCCCTCAAATTTAAAAATTTGGACAGTGGACTAGGCTCCAAGCACACAAACAGCCAAACATTCACCCGCATACATAATTGAACATCCCCCCACACTTAAGCACGACATTGTCCTCAATGGAGGAAAGATAAGGAGGGTAGAACGAAGTTACCATATCAAGGGTGAATGATGGTGGACGGGGCAGGCTGTGCATTCCAGGAGGAGAGAGTAGTCAGAACACAAACACCACATAAAATCTCACAAAGGTTGAGTTATTGACTCTAAAATCAAAGAACAAAACTGACTCAACCGAAGAGAAATAGGGAAAGAAATGCAAACCGACTGGTTGGGTTGCCTCCCAACAAGCGCTTCTTTCACGTCGTGAGCCGGACGATGGCTCCTAAGTTTTGGTCCATGCTAGAACCTCCTTGAAGTTGAGGTTCTCGTCGATGAGGTGGAGTCTCAAGTCACGAGCATGTGGTGTGGCAGGTGATGAAGGCTCATGTACTTGATGCAGATGGAGTCTCCACCCTCGAGACCTCTTCTTCTCTTCTCTCGTCTCATTGCCCCAAACCAGATATGAGAGCATCGATTGGCCACCATCGCGTCCACCAAGAGGGACCGATGTTGATGTGGCCTTGGTCTGGCAAAGAGACACTGCAAATGGGTCCTTGCTAAGCAGTTCCTCAAAGTTTGGTGGGGATATCACTTGCAACTCATGGCCGGTGCATGCCTCTTGCACCTCAACTTCATCCTCAGCCTGGACGCCAATTGCTTCCTCAACCCCCCTTCCTTCTTCAAAATGTGGTCTCTCCCCTGGGAAAAGATCAAGAACCACCTCTTCTTTTCTTTCTTCCTCATCATCCACAACTTTCTTCCTCATCCTTGCTCGCTCTTCTTCTTATAGAACAGATTGGAGAGCAAGTCGCCAAGCAATTTCTTCAATGGGATCATCTTGCATCTCCTCGCACGGGCCCAACATGTTAGAGCATAAATGAGGAAAGGTGTGGTCTGCAACCAAAGGACTTTCCTGATCATGGTTATCATGGGAGTTCTCTGTGATAACTTCTGTATGCTCCTCAACGCTCCCATAGCCTTTGTCATCCTCCACCTCTTCTAGCGTGGCAGCAGAAAGGTGATCTTGAGCAAGATGTGAGCAAACTTGCTTCACCCACTCTGTTTGCTTCGCTGAGCACTGAACAGTCTCCTCCATATCATGGAGAAATGAGGGATCGGAAGTGGCAAGGGCTTTGATTTGAAGATCCATCTTGGAGCATGATTTCTCAGTGTCTCGAGCAAACTGCTCCACGAGAAGCCTTAATTGTTCGTTCGGATCCTCCAGTGAAGTGTAGCATGGCTCTGCAGAGTGGCCCGTGAAGGCCGCCATGGGTAACTCCAGCTCCGATGGCCCTTCTGGTTGTGGGAGAAAGTCTTCTTGGTAATGAGGTTGTTCTTGATATGCCCAGGGGTCTGATTGTTCTCTGTAGTAAGGGGGTTGGTACAGGAACCCGAATCCATAGTCTTCTCCTCCTTGATTGTTGTAGGGAGTCGCGGGGTAATACCACCCGGATGGTGGTGGATAACCCCAATGATTGGAGAAGCCATTAGGATCCATGATTCAGATCTGCACCAACAAAAACAAAAACACCCAAGTGAAAAGCAAGGGTGGAAAAGAAAAGAAAAGAAAAACGCTAAAGTAACAAACTTCTGCCTTTCCTAATAATCTAGAAAGTCCCCGGCAACGGCGCCAAAAACTTGGTGCTCTGGAACACAACACCTAACAATGGCCAAGTGTAACCAATGAAAGGGACTGCAGTATAGTGGCACAAGTAATAAATATCGAATCCACGGGTCTCTAGAGTTACTATTACTCAGCTTCAGTTCATTATCTAGCAAACTAGATTAAGGATTGATTAACTAAACTAAGTAAAACTACTAATTACAGTTTGGGAACTCACTTAGGTATGATTCCCCCTAGCTCCTCAATTAGGTCCAAGTTGTAATTCCTTTTGGTTGATTTACTGTTGATTAAACTGCGGAAGATCCGACAGTAGCTCGGAATCTCTTAAGCTGACCAAGCCCTCTCAGTCTAACTATCCGGCAGACGACTAGTCTTCACCGGGATAGAAAGCTGAAGCAATAAGCACAGAACTCCACTACTGGAATTGGATTCCAGTACAAAGCAGTAAACTGGCTAACTCTCGTATAGCCAATCTCCTACTACCGAATGATGAGACTCTAGCAACCTAATCAGATTCTATCTATCTCATATTGCAGCAGGAATCAAGAAAAGTTGATCAGACTTCAATTGACTCAATAAACATGCATCATTCGATTATAATCAAACAATATAGCATCCAAAACTTCATACAAGAAAGATCCTAACTCATGGAACTAAGGTTCCTCAAAACCTAAGTGAAAGGAAGTTACTCCATAGAGAAGAGAGAGACTGCAGAAATCTGATCTAGATCTTCAATCTCCATCTCCAAGCTTGATTCCCGAGCTCCAATGGCGAAGAAATCCTCCAAAATAGCTCCAAGAATGTTCCCAAGTCGCTCTCTCTCTCTAGGGTTCGTCCCTTGGGTGTTTGGGATCCAAAACCCAGCTCTCCCTTTCCTTTGGCTCTAATCTGCCTCAAAAACCCGATTCTGGGCGAATTACGGGCTGAATTACGGTCGTAATTCTTCCATGCCCGTATTTTGCCCAAAACACGCGTTTTGGTTAAGTTTCAGCGCACCCAAAGCTCCTCTCGGCAGTGAAATTACGGGCATGGGAGGGCAAATTACGGTCGTAATTCTCCTGCCCGTAATTCTTCCTCCACCCCTGTTCAAAGCTTCGTTTCTCCCTCGTCCGGACTCCGAATCAGTCGCCGTTTGAACCCAGACGCTCGTAGTCTCGTCCTCTTTCTTTTCATAACAAACTTTCATGATTCTTTGTCCATAAAGTGAGGTAGAAATCCATTCTTCTTCAGGTCATGCTCGTGTTTCTTCTCCCTAATCGCCAATTGATCTCCGATTGACTTGAAACTTGCGCCTACGCTTCACTTTATGTGCTAGGGCCTGAAATGTGACAAAGGAACACAAACTAGCGTAAAATAGGCCAAAGAAGCGATAATGCAAGCTTAAACGATCAAGAAACAAAGGGGAAAACATGTGCAAATATCGAGTCATCACATACCAATTGACCTCGTAAGCTTCTATAATTACACATGTTTATACCCCTATTCTTGAGCCATTAGAGAAGAGATTCTAGTGTTTTAAGCCGATTTCACCCTAGCTTGTGTGTTTATGTCATATTTCAGGGCTTGGCGTTGACATTAAGGCGAGAAAACGAGTTTCGGGTCAAAAGAAGGACGTTTGAGTTGAAGGGGGCTGGAGGAGCAAAATACCCGGCCATGAGTAATAATACCCGACCGGGTAAATCGCTAAGAGAGGCCGGGGAAAATCTATTTTGGACGTCTAGAAACAGAAGGGGTCCCGGCCAGAGAGCAAAAATACCCAATCGGGTATTCTTGACCTCTATCGGGTATTATCCCCTATACCGCTGCGCTACAAACAAACTGCCTGGAGGTGGTTCCATTTCCATAGACTCATCGACATCAGAATCGGTGGTCTCTTCCTCTTCCTCCGATACATACTCGCCATTATCAAACAAGATCAGGGTCTTCTTATTGGCACACTGGCTCGCAATGTGTCCTCTTCCATGGCATTTGAAACAACAAATTTCCCCCAACGATCCACCTTGCTTCATAACTGGATTTGCACCATCAGCCCTTGCCGCGGGTCTAGGAGCTTCTTTCACAGGCAGTTGCAGCTTAGGGTTGGTTGCAACTCTTTGGCTCGAACGTGTGGAATTTGTGGAGGGTTAAAACCTCCTATTTTGAAGCTGCCGTTCCACTTTACTTGCCATATCCACCAAATCTTCAAGTTCAAGGAATGGTTGTATCTCCACCACTTTCTTGATATCTTGATTGAGACCATACAGAAAACGAGCTATGGTAGCCTCGTGGTCCTCTCTCACATCAGCACGTATCATCAACACTTCCAACTCCTTGTGATAATCTTCAACGCTTTTAGTTCCTTGCCGGAGAAGCTGGAGGTTTTTGATACATATCTCGCAAATGGGAACTCGATACAAACCGATCTCTCATAATTCCTTTCATCTCATCCCACGTCTCAATAGGACGCTGCCTATTTTTCCTTCGTTTCGTTCCCAACTGATCCCACCAAACAAGTGCATAATCCGAGAACTCCTAGGGAAGCCAATGTCACTTTCTTCTTCTCGGAGTAGTTATGACAATCAAACACTAAATCCATCTTTTGCTCCCAATCCAAATAAGCATCAGGGTTAGTGGTACCGCGAAAAGGTGGAATCGTGACCTTGAGGTTTCACAAATCATCCTCCTCTTTAAGCCCTCTTATTCCTCGTAATTAAACTCCTCTTCATGATGCTGCTTCCGCCCTCTCCTTTCAACTCGAGGCATTCCAAGGCGTCAATGCTGGCACATATGACGCTGTACTTCGTGAACCAAGGGTGGAGGAGCTCGGTTTTCCCTTCCCCTTACTTCGTGACCACAACCGGGTGCTGGAGCCTTGTCTCGACAGCCTCCATCCTCGTGGCTTGCTCGACAAGCCTTGCTGTTTGCTCTTCTTGAGCACGAGCAATGTTCTCCAATTGATTTCTAATCGCTTCGAGTGATGCTTCCATGTTCATGATGCAAGAAAACTTCAAGAACACAAGAACTCGCACAACCTGCCTCTTGCCTCGCAAGAAACACCATGAACTCCCAAGAACAAACAACCTCATGTCTTGCGGCTCAAGAACACGCCAAGACCTTCAAGAACTCGCACAAAAACACCAAGAACACGAACAAGAACACACAAGATCTTCAAAAAAAAAAACTTCAAGAACACGCCACTGATTTGAACCTTAGCTCTGATATCACTTGATATAATCAAAGTAGCGCAGGGTCAAGCTTCTCGAACTAAACAGAACCGGATAGGATGGAAATCGATCGGACAGTACTCACCCGTGAATAAGGGAAATTGATATATGAATCGATCGGACAGATTCAACTCAGAATAAAGGGCAATCGATATGGGTAGCTCGCCAAAACCATGGTGAATACCTAGCTGATAAGAGTCGCTCTAGCACTCTGGATATTGTCGACAGAGTAATTAGGGCAAATTCTGCGTAGCGAACTCGGTAATAGCCTCTGAAATTCAATAATAATCGTCTAAGGGCAAACCAACGTGTTTAGCCCTTTAAATAGGCAAAGTACAACCCACATCCAACTCCTACATGGAAAAACAATCATAAACCGACTTTAAAACAAGGAAACTCGGAAACAGCCCGGCAAACCCATTAAGCCCAAACCATTAAGCCTGGACCCGTTAAGTAAACCGGTTAAGGCTGGATCCGTTAAGCAAACCCGTTAAGGCTGCTTCTTGCAATCTGCCTTCTCTTCAGCACTTCCTCCTTCTTCCTCCACTCGAATCATCATATATGGCTTCCCTCGAAATGCTCCACGTCCATGGCTCCAAAGTAGCTCTCCAAATATGTCACAAGCTTCTCCTTCAACGTCCTTGCCTTAGCACGTGTGACTGGCCCATTGGTGTCCTCATCATTTTCACTACTTTCCCAAGTTTTCCACGAAAGGTTCTAACTTAAAATTTCGTATGTAGGTGCTCCTTTTTGCTGCGAGAGGTGCCCGGCGCCTAGAGGCAGCCAAAGGAGAAAGTTTGGCTGCTTCAAACTCCTTGTCCGTGGCGAAAGACGATCTTGATACGACCAATATTCTCCGCGAGCAGCTGGTGAAGGAGTGTGAAGACTCCCAGCTGGAGGTGGCCAAGGAGGTTTCCCGAATGCAGACTATCCTCGACGAGGAGCGGTGTCGATGCGAAGCTAAGGTCGGGCGCAGTTGGAGGCCGAGCGAAAGGATTTCGCGATGAAGCTCTTGGCCTAGGAGTCCGAGAAGGAGACTCTCTCAAGAGAGGTAGGCGTGATATCGACCTTCTCAAAGAAGAGAAGGGGAGGCTCCAAGATAAGTTGACTTCCATGTCCCATGGTCACAAAAACTATAAGAAGGCCATGACGGCAGCTCGGAAGGAGATTGCCTCCCTGAAGGCGTTCTTTGGGTCACTACGAGGACACCAAGGCTGGGAAGAACCTGTTTGCAAACGCCTTCTTGACGAGCATAAGCATCCTGAAGAAGAAGCTCGATCGGGATCACCAGGACCAGACTTGGGATCTGGGAGACATGGCCAACTTTGTGATTGCGGAAATGCTCGACACGGGTGAGGGGGAGGAGGCGCCCGTTCCACCAGCGGCTGATGCACCCCGACGGCAGATGCGCCTCCAATACCCGAGGATTAGGAGGCCAGTGTGGGGGACGCCCCTTTGGGCGCCGAGTGAAATCCCATGTATTTTTGTACTTTTAGTAATTAATTCTTGTACTCTTGACTATCACCCGCACTTATATAAGTACGAACAAGTTTCGACTCGCCTTATTTCTTCACCGTGTTATACAAGGCACCATATATTGATATAGCTTGACTCTTCATTTCAGAGGGTGCTAGGGAGGGTGCTTTATGATTATACCCATTTTTCGTTCGAAGGGCGCTAGGTTGGACGCTTTAACTGGCCCGAATATCTAAACATTGTTTTAGCTGAAGGGCGTGAGGTTGGGCACATTGGCTGGTTGGAGAATGGAAATGGACACATTAAAGCAACATCGATGGGCGCTTAGAAAATACGAGCGCTTTAACATTGTCAAGGCGCTACATATATATGGCGCTTTTAACACGCTACGACGCTTTGGACACAATACAAGCGCTTCTCAACACAACACTTGTGACCCACAAAAAAGATGGAAAAACTAACCACTGCTATCTTGGACCTCGACATCGCCCATTAATCAAGGAGATGCCCCTATGCACGGTTGGCAGAGATGCAAGTTTTGTGCATTCCATGTCCTCTTTACCGCCTTGCCATCGAGATGTTCCAACTTAAACTTGCTGGCGCCCACAACTTCGCGAACACGATATGGACCCTTCCATTTTGGTGCTAACTTTCCCTCCTGGGAGTCTGGTTGGAAGTCATGCTTGAGCACTTGGGCGCCTGCTATGATGGCGTGCGAGCTCATCTTCTTGTCATAGTATCTTGCAACTTGCTTTTTCATAGCCTCCAGACGCACAGCTGCCACCAAGTCTAAATCATCGACTCGCTCCTTATCATTGTTGATGGGGTCGTGATGAGCCACCGGATAGCTTGGAACAGTGACCTCGATTGGAATGACCGACTCTACACCGTAAGTTAGGCAAATGGTGTTTCACTCGTGGTTGTCTTGTATGTCGTCCAGTGTGCCCATAAAACACTAAGCAACTCCTCCACCCATCTGCCTTTGGCGCCTGTCAGCCTGGTGTGCAACCCATGCGGGATACTTTTGTTGGCCGCCTCTGCTTGCCCGTTTGCTTGAATATATGCTACTGAGGAGAATCGCATCACCACCCCATTCTCGTCGCAAAATTCGACGAACCTTTTGCAATCGAACTGCTTACCCTGGTCTAGGGGTGGGCATTTAGTCGGTTCGGTTCGACCGAACCGAAATTATGAATCCGGGTCCCCGAATTCTCTCAAACCTCAAACCGAATTTGAACCGAATTATAATTATGTTTGGTCGGTTTAAACCAAATTATAATTCGGTTTGGTTTGGTTTGGTTTTTCACACAAAACCGAATTTGTGAAGCTACTTGTATCTTCTCACTTTTAAATTATTTTTCACCCCTAATATAAACAATAAATATGCAATTATATGCATCATCAATAATAAAATCAAACTTTTCAACACATAAGTCATAAATATTTCAAATATTTAAGTCTAAAAACAACTACAAACATAAAATTCACCATTTGGAGCTTGCAATAATAGTATTTTGGTTTTTCGGTCGGAAATTCAGTAATTTCGTTTGGTTGAAAGAACCCTCTTTTCCGAACTATTTATATTTTTCTTCCGAACAACATTAATTTGGTTTTGGTTCGGTTTAATTCGGTTTCGGTTCGGTTTGGGTTTACCAAACCATTTGCCCACCCCTACCGTGGTCCGTGACGATGGGCTCTCGTAGACCAAATCGGCTGAATATGTTCTTCCTGGTGAATTTCCGCACTTGGCCCTCGGTGATGGTGGCCAATGGCTCAGCTTTAATCCATTTTGAGAAGTAGTCGATGACCACTATTAGGTACTTCATTTGGTCAGGTGCCTTCGGGAAAGGACCCAAAAGATCCATGCCCCATTGGGCAAACGGCCAGGCGCCTACGTTGCCTTGCATTGGTGCCGCTGTTATGTGGATGTCATTTGCAAGCACCTGACACTGATGGCAGGTGTTGACGTGTGCCTTCACATCCTTTCTCATCGTCGGTCAGTAATACCCTTGTCGCAACAACATCTTCTCCAAACTTTGTGCACCTGCGTGCATGTCGCATGATCCGCCATGCACCTTGTCGATGGCGATTTTTCTTTCCTCGTCGGTCAAGTATCGCAAGTATGTGCCTGAATGAGATCTTTTGTATAGTCGGCCTTATACAATGAAACATCAAGCTGCCTTTCTACGGAGGCGCCATGCCTCTCTTGAGTCTTTGGGCACTATGCCTTGGGTTAAAACAACTCCAGGGAGCTCATCCAACCACCACTTGCACTTGCATAGGTTAGGGCGCCCATCAGATGTTCTTGTGACACCTCCCTTGTGACAATAACCTTCCGTTCCTCTGCGAAATCAAGAGCGGTTGCTAGTTTTGACAAGGCGTCCACGTGAGCGTTCTCTTCTCTTGGAATATGCGTGAACACGACCTCGCTAAACCAGGCGCCCATCTCTTTTACCCTTCGCACATAACTTTAAAGCGCATCTTCTTTGACTTTGAAAACCCCCTTGAGCTGGTTGATTATGAGAGCCGAGTCGGACTTGACGTGCACCTTCTGGGCGCCCAACTCCCTGGCCATGTGCAGATCGACGATGACCGCCTCATACTCAGTAACATTGTTGGTTTTCATCAATGCAAAGCGTAGTGCAACCTCATGCATCGCCCCCATGGGGCTAATGATCACATTCCTGCCTCGGCCCCGGTGCGGCTGGCCTCTCCATCCACTTGAACTTGCCAACTGTCCTCGCCGCCCGTCTCTGTCGCAACCAAACCTTTCTCGACGAAGTCCGACAGTACTTGAGCCTTGATCGCTGGTCGGGTCGCATATTGTATGCCAAACTCGCTCAATTGAACGGCCCATTTGATGAGGCGCCCCGCCACGTATATTTAGCTCAACGTAGACTTTAGAGGGAGATTGGTGAGCACAATGATGAAGTGTGCCTGGAAATATGGTCTAAGCTTGGTCGCTGTCGTGACGACCGCCAACGCAGCCTTCTCAATGGGAGCGTACTGCTTTTCGTGTGCTACCATTGTTCGGCTGACATAGTATACCAGCTTCTCCTCTCCCTTAGGCGCCACCCTCGAGATTAAGGCTGCACTCACCGAAATTTCAGAGATGGCGATGTACAGGTACAACGTCTCCCCGGCTTTAGGTGCCGTCATCACAGTTGGTGTGGCCAGTAGGTGCTTGAGCTCATCAAATTCTTCATCGCACTTGGCGTTCCAAGAGAAATTCATTGCCTTCTTAAGTGTTCGAAAGAAAGGGGCCACCTTATCGGACGACCTTGGTATGAAGCGCCCCAACGCTGCTAGCCTGCCCGCTAGGCCTTGCACCTCCTTAGGTGTTTTTGGAGATGCCAATTTGACAATCACATGTACCTGTTTTGGGTTGGCCTCGATGCCTTGCTTCGTGATCATGAAGCCCAAGAAGCGACCAAGACCACGTTTGACAGCCACGTAACGTACATGGCCTCTTCCACTAGGTTAGCTCCAAGCAGTTTGTCTACTTCCACCTGGAGGGCCACCTCCTTTTCTTGTGACAGATTTCTTCGCTTCTGCTGGATAATTCCCTTTCCTTCCTCAACTGCCAACCTATGGATCTCCGTTTCGGGCACAACACCAGGCATCTCCATAGCGCTCCATGCGAAGAGTTAGCCAAACTCTCACAAAAGGTCGACTAATTTTTTCCTCATTTCCATGGGCGCCTGTGCCAATACCCGCACTTGTCTCTCGAGGCAACCTTCCTCCAAAAGAATCAGAAGATTTTCGTCTGCGGCCTCAACCCGAGGCGCCTCCTCCGGCGTAATGTCCACCACGTTGACTCTCATGTCCTTACATAGACGCTTATCTTCCGTCTCACGATCGTAACATAGGGCGCTTTGCACTCAGGCCACCCCCGGTCCTTGAGCGGCGATGAATTTTAGGATCTGATGCCATATGGACGCCACTACGTTAAACATGGCCAGGAAGGGTCTGCCAAGTATTGCGTTGTACGGGGTGGACAGTCCACTATTCCAAAATCTATGACGTGAGTGACCCTTTGCTCCTTGTCTCCCAGGGTTACAGGCAGGCGCACACGGTCAATCACCCTTGCGGGCGCCCCAGAAAATCCAATTAATACAAAGTTTGAGGGTTGAATCAAATCTGGCGACAACTGCATGTGCGCCACTATGTCTTTAAACAACACGTCCATCGAGCTTCCTGTGTCTACAAGCATCCTTTTCACCTTGCAACCCCCAACCACTCCGTATATCTCCAGCGCGTCCATGGACAGAAGCCTACATGCTTCATCAGGCGTCTGGTTGAAGCAAATGTTGATTGCCTCCTAGGCGCCCACCGAAGTTGTCCTTAAACGATGGTTTGCTTCCAATTTTTCACTTAAGTCGATCGACCCTGTGATAGATTCCACCGTGAGCCGCACCCGCTCAGGCGCCTTGTCTTGGTCGAGGTCGTATGGTGGTGGGGGCAACTCTACCATCATCAATTATGCCCTGGCTACACAAGCGCTATGCGTCTTTTTCTCAGGTTCTCTGATGAAATCGTTGAGCATTCCTCTGTTCACCAAGCCCTGCAGCTCCGTCTTCAGTTGATAGCAATAGGCGGTATGGTGCTCACTCTCCAGTTGGAAGTCATAGTACCGATCCATATTCCGCTTATTGGGCTACCCTCTCATTGGTCCTAGCCACCGGACATGATATCCCTTCTCTTTGACGTAATGGAGCACGTTCTTCAGCGTATCGTTAAATTCCGTGAAGGAGCCCGCCCCTTGCGGCTGGAGGAACCCGATGTCCACCCTTCTTGCAGGCGCATAACTTGCGGAAGTATGCACTGGCCCTAGGGGAGGCACCTGCCTCCATGAATTCTCGCACTCGTTTCCTCTTGTTCGTCGCCTATCCGCTCTTCTTGCTGCCAAGGTTTCTTCCAACATAATTACCTTTTGCACCCTATGGTCCAAGTATTTCGTGGATACCACATCTCTCTTTGCCATCGCCCTACAAAGTTCTTCACTGGAGGTGCATTCATTCAAGCAACATCCCAACACCGAAGGCTGGGCATCCTTTACCACCAGGGCTACCAAGAGCCACCTCTCGTAGAACTCCCTCAAGACTTCACCCTCCTTTTGTTCAGGGGCAGACGCACGGGACACCCCAAAATTTTGGGAAAATGATTATCCAACTCCCGGTGGTAAATTACATATCGACAAAAAAATTATAATTGATAGTTGAGTACACCCCTGAAATTTGAAAAATGATTATGCTACTCTAATCTTTTAGTTTGCTATGAGAATATAAGTTGTAGTTTGAGTAATTCAAATCCAGGACACTATTATTATTAATAAAAATAATTTTTTTTAGACAACAAATGAATTTTAGACATTGTGTAATAGTAAAATGCTATTCACTTATTTTCAAAACCTAACAATTAAACAAATTATTTTAAACACTATTGTACGACAAGTGTTGAAAGAGTCTTTTCAGCTTTGGATTACATCAAGAACAAGAGTAAAAATTGAATATGTGATCAGTTCATGAATGATTCTAGTATGATATACAAAAACAAATTTTTTGAGCAGTGTAGACACTAAGTGTATTTTACAGTTATTTTCGAATATGAAAACACACCGTGGACTTTTTCACTCGTACGATTCAGGTATTTTCTTATATAAGAATTATTTAATTTTCTTATAAAAAATTTTAAAAAAGAGGACAACTCTATGTAAAATTCCTGGGCCCGCCACTGCTTTTATTTAATTTTGAAGAGGGCACCTATGGTCAGAGAGCGACGTTCCAGCTAGCATACTTTGCCAAGAACATCGCCGCAAATTTCTCAAAGCGCTCTATACGCCCCTCCTCAATTTGGTGGTACCAATCCAGCACCACGCCCGCGAAGGTCGACGGGAATACCTTGCACAAGGTGGCATCGTAGCTGTTGTAGCGCTGCATCTTTGTGAAGTAGCCGTTCAAGTGGTCATCCAGATCCGCCGTTCCATCATAGACGGAGAGTGGTGGTATGTTGGTTCTGGTCTGCTCCATCAACACGTTCCTTGCCAAGGGATGTCTCACTGGGCAGTGTCGGGGCAGGTGCCATGGCACCCACCCATTGCGTCCCTCGAAGTCCGAGTTTGCATGATCATTCGGGCGCCACAAGGATGCGGGGCACCTTGTTTGTCCGGAATCCCCTTCCGTCTCCGCGATTCTTTCCCGTTTCCTTGAAGTCGGACTACGTACCATTCCCTCTCCTTTCTTCAGCGCCTCGACCTCCCGCTTGAGAATCTCGATTGCCTCGTCCTGGTCTTCGATAATCCTAAACATATCTCTGTTGGTGATGGAGGCGCCCTCTCAACTTGGGAACCTCGACTCACTTCCCGCCTCCTCTGCGGCTTCGGGGGTCCTCTCTCTTGATCCCCCGTGGGTTCCCCGTGATTTGTTCCTCCTCACCACTCGATGTTGGCTCCATATTCGCAGCTCCTAATCGTACCCCCCTATCTGGCGCGCCAATTATTTGTGCCTGGATACTTTGAAATCCCATTCCCCGCCAGCTCTATTCCCGCGCAACGAGTTCTCGGCGCATGACCTGCACAAACGCACACAGAGGAGGGCGCCTGGGCCCGTTAGTCTTCCGATGATCAAGTCAGTTCGAGTCTTAGAGAGAAGTGCCAAGCTCTAGTATTTAGTGAGAGAATCCAACATGCGTAAAGGCTACCTACCGATGACACGCCAAAACACAACACCAAATTGCAACCAAGTGTAATCGCAGTCCGGGAATGCAGTAAAGTGGCAAGTTCTATTATCAACCCGGGGTCTAGATCTACTGCTTACTCCGTGATTATCTATTATCTAGCCAACTAAGTTAAGTGATTGTTGTTTTAAGCAAAAGCATAAAGAAAGCAGGAATTGGTTCGGTTTTCTCAAGCAAAGAAGAGTCACTCGGGAATGAGTCCCCCTAGCTCCTTAGTTAGGTATCAATTGTAATTACCCTGGGTTGATTTACTGTTGATTAGACTGCGGAAGATCCGACAGTAGCTTGGAATCTCTTAAGCTGACCAAGCCCGCTCAGTCTAACTACCCGGCAGACGACTAGTCTTCACCGGGATAGAAAGCTGAAGCAATAAGCACATAACTCCTCTACTGGAATTGGATTCCAGTACAAAGCAGTAAACTAGCTAACTCTCGTATAGCCAATCTCCTACTACCGAATGATGAGGCTCTAACAACCTAATCAGATTCTATCTATCTCAGGTTGCAGCAGAAATCAAGAAAAGCTGATCAGACTTCAATCAATTCAATAAACATGCATCATTCGATTAAAACCAAACAGTATAATCATCCCAAGTCATTACAATCAAATCCCTAACACATGGAACTAGGGTTCTTCATACCCAAGCGAGAGAAGGGTTCTACTCCATAGAGAGAGAGAGGAAAACAGAATACAAAGCAGTCATACTCATAACAATGGGAAGAATCTGCTCTGGGATGATGATTTCCACTCCTACGACGATCCCCAAGCTCGATTTGATGAAACCCAGCTCCAAGATAGCTTCTAGGATGTGTTCTTCGTACTTTGTCTCTCTAGGGCTCTGTTTTTTCTCTGAAAATCCGATTCTCTCACTTGTGGCCCGAAATTGGGTAAAAACCAGAAATTCCCGACTCACACGGGCAGGCCACATGGCCGTGTTGCATACCCAGTTGCCCGTGTGAGGTCAAAACCCCGCGTTCCGATTATGTGGGTTTCAGGCTTCCTACACGGCCAGGGGCACACAGCCGTGTAGCTCACCCAGCCTGCCCGTGTGAAGCCTCGCAGATTTCCACACGGCCAAATTACTGCTTCACACGGCCGTGTGGAATTTATTTGTGCCCGTGTGAAGGCTCGCACAATCCCACACGGCCACATTGGTCACTTGCACGGCCGTGTGGGTTTTGTGTGTGCCCGTGTGGCTTCCTCAGCGACTTGCCTCACGTCCGATCTTCGTCCAATCGACCCCAAACTCGCTCCCAAACCTTCATTCACTTACTAGGACCTGAAATATCACAAACAAGCACAACCTAGCGTGAAATCGGTCTAAAATACGAGAATCAACACCTCAAACGGCTCCATAATAGGGGTAAAAACATGTGCAATTAACGGTTTATCAAACTCTCCCACACTTAACCGTTTGCTTGTCCCCAAGCAAACCAAGTCAGACACAAGGTAAGCTTACATATTTCAACCATACCAACATTGGGGACAAATCATATAGGCACAGAAACACGTGAATCATACTGGCTTTCAAACATCAACACATGAACAACCTCAATAACAACCTGGACAACCACCACAGAAGACATTCGAGTGCAGCAAAATCGAGTAAAGGAGGAGTCTCCCTTCTGTTCATCAACCAACCTAGACTTGACTCAACCACTTACTCAAGACAATCAACTCATGCATAAAACTCAAGATATCATAATCAAGACTGAGCCATCTAGGTCCTCACCGGGGTAAAGAGTGTAAAGAACAAGGAAATGAATCACTCACTCTCGACCAGTGGGGTCAGGACAATTTGATGTGAAAAATGCGCATACTTATTCTCTCAATTCCTAACATCTCTTCACCACGACGGCAGCCTCTAAAAGTCAGAGTTCACATAAATGGTTGTCATCACTAACTAATCAGGAGGTCTTAGACACAGGTTCAAATGACTGGCTAGGGTCTTGGACATGGGGAAAAGGCCTTTTAGGTGGTGGAAGTATTCTTAGCTCAAGGTTCCACATTTCCAAACCCAACAAACTCACAGTCAATCAAACCAGTATTTTCTTTCTACTATTCTGCATTACTCAAATTCTTCAGAGAACAAGAGCGAAGGAGGTCACATAAATACCAGTATTTCTAAGCCAGACTGCTAAGAAACACTACTTAATGGGCACTATTCAGATTTTTGGTGGTGACTCTCTTTTGCTTTCATTTTTTCTTTGTTTTTCTTTCAGTTTTTTTCATTTCTTAAGAGAACCACCACCTCTGCACATTTTCAAACACCTGCCCAACTTTTTAAGAACTACCTCCAACTCTTCACATTAAATTTAGCAGAAACAGCAGAGAACATGTGAAAATCACTCTGTGGAACCTTCTAAAAGATGCAAAAGGGTGACTTTTCATTGAAGACCAAAAGAAAGGATAACACACGGCTCAAAGGGGCTAACTAGGGGGTATGACACACCAGGACAGTCAATTTGGTCGTGGGCTAATCCTATGCCTCCATCATCTTAGCTAATGACAACGTGAATGCTACACATGATGGAAGAGGGAACTATCGCACAAGAAAGAAACGAGCAGGCTCAAATCTCACATGGCTACCTATATGCTCTATCTCTCATTCTGATTCCTTGAACTAGATGCATAAGAGACTGTCAAAACAAAAACACACACTGAGGGACGACAAGTACAACCTACTTGTCGCCAAGGTTGTCCAGATCAATGTCATTCATGAATGCATCATCGTCATCAGCTGGTGGAGGTGGAGGTGGAGAGTCCTCCCAGGGAGTCCTCCAGACTGGCTGCGCACCTGGTAGCAGCTGGAGAAGGTGCTGCTGGACCTCCTGCATGCGCCGAGAACGGGCCTGCTCCCTTTCGATACGAGCCAGGGTCACACCCTGTTGGGTCTCCATCCGATCCAAACGCTCATCATAAGCGGCCATCCGGGTCGGGTACTCGGCATGGTGAGCCGAATACTGCTGCTGAAACTGGAGCTGATGGTCGTAGAGCTGCTGATTCTGGAGACGCAGTTGCTCGAACTGCTGAGTGAAGTAGTCCTGGCCGGGGAAAGTGGAGCTGCCACCCCCGTACTCGAAGGTGGTGGGTCGGGCGGCAGCAGTATCATCCACATCCTCGGGATGGACATCCTCATCAGGCGCACCCTCGGGAACCTCCGGCTGGACCTCTTCTGGGATCTGAGGTTGAGGAAACCCCTCGATCCACTTAACACCTCGCTCTTCTTGAAGCAGGTGCATTTTACCGATTGTAAACTCGCCAAAGGCACTAGTGTCTCCCTGCTTTGTGCACCCCTGCAGGGATATCTGGAAGTAGGCTGCCAGGCGGGTGATGAGGGGAGTGCAGTGGAGTTTCTTCAGCTCGGAAGCACTCTTGTCGAAGGTCCTCGCCACCACCGAACCCAAGTGGAGGGGATGATCCCTCTGCCGCATAGACTGGATGAAGTACATGGCTCTCTTGGTGATGGCGCTGGCACTGTCCGAGGCTGGAGTGTAAGACTTGGCCAGCAGGTGATGGAGAATGCGGTTGTCGAGCTGCAATGTGTTGGCCTTTGTCTTCCCCGCCGAGAAGGGACGCTGGCCTGGCCGAGCGAGGTGGGTGTACAGTGTCCTGAAGTCTACCCGCTCCAGCTCTGTGAGCTCGGTGATGTAGTCCCTGTCATCGACCAGGCCGAGGCCGAGGGCGGTCGCCAGCTCGTGGTAGCTCATGGATCGGGCCACACCGCCGAGCCTGAAATTGATGGCTTTGCCGTCCTTCCAATCCTCCATGTCTGCGGGCTTAAAGGTCGTGTAGAACTCAAGCACGAGCTCGTGGTAAACCTTCTCGCGAGTGCAGAGTAGGCGGCGCCAGGGGCGGTTGGTGACAATGGAGGAGAAGTGCTCGTAGCAGTTCAGCTTCTCAAACTCTCGCTTGGACCAGCAATGATGCTGCCCAAACTTGCAGGCCAGGACGTTCTTAAAATGATCTTGGTGGGGCCCCCTTCTCAAATCTTGAACAAACGGGTGCCTGAGGTTGGGCTTCGTCATGGTCCTGCAAAAGAACAACCCAGAGTGGAACCAAAAGAGGCAAGGAAATGTTAATCACACCCCCACACTTAAGAACAGAAAACAGCCGAACCGTGGTTTCATCCATAGTTCGGGGTCAAAAACTCGATAAATCAAGCATAATCTGAGTGGGGGTGCACATCCATGAAAAAGTAGGCAACTCAAGGTTCACATCCATAGCAAACACACCCTCAAAGCACATCATTAAGGGTCCCAACCGACTCCCACAAAATGGTACGAAAACAGGCATTTCATCGAACACTTTGTGTGCACTATTAAGGTAAACATGAAATGGACAAAATTCTTGCACACAAGGGCTCAAACAAGCAAGGGGGACAATGCCCAACACAATTCATACATAATCCAAGCATTCCCCTCAATCAATTGCACACAATTCACATGATTCAAAGAGGTTCTCTAAACATGCACCCTAACACCCAATTCTCCATGAAAAACATGGTTAAGGTCAAAATCAAACCTGGAGACTCAAGTAGAGGTGTAGGGGATGATGAGGGGAAGGCAATGGAAGCGACGAAAGGCCGAAAAACTGCCCGGAAGTGCTCGTCGGAGCCTCGCCGGAGTCTCGCCGGAAATCGCCTCCGACGACTCAAAATCAAGCCAAATCACCTCAAAATCGAGGGATAGGCCGATAATGGGGAGGAAAGGGTGGGTGTGTTGTTGGATTTGTGAAAAACCGACCAAAAATAGCTGAAAATTGACAAGGATGGCGAAAAGTCGCAGTTTTCCAGCGAGGGGGAGAGGTTTCCGGCGAGAGAATTTGGATTTTCTGACCACTCGGCCATGTCGGCCGAATTTATAGCCCGGGGCTCGGCCACACGGGCAGGCTCACAAGACCGTGTGAGGTGCACATATGCCCGTGTCGGCCGACACGGGCAGGCCGAGGAAATCCACACTGCAGTGCAAAAAGCACATTTGGCCGTGTGACTTTTGACGAGAGCTCACACGGGCTGGGTCCAAATCCACACGACCGTGTCACAATCACAACTGGCCGTGTGGAAATTCACGAGAGCACACACAGCCAAAACCCGATTCCACACGGCCGTGTGACTTTCAGGGCTGGTCGTGTGGGCTGCCAGAACTCCGAAATTGACCTGTTTTCACTCCAGAACGACATACAACTCGTGAACAACCCCTCAAGACTCAAAAAACACGAAAAATCAAAAGGAAAAAGGTAATAAAATGCAAACCTAGGTAGGGTTGCCTCCCCACAAGCGCTTCTTTATCGTCTTTTAGCTGGACGCCAATAGGTGGATCCTCAGAGAGGTGTAGGCGCGGGTGCCTTCAAGAGCGGATCCACCTCGCTCTTGAGGTACAGCTTCAAATGGTGGCCATGCACACGACGAATGTGGCCACCAGCATTCGCCAACTCGACTTGGCCATCCGTCAGGATGCAAGCGAGTGAATACTCGGATGGCCAAGGTGGGAGCGGGACCAGCTCGTAGTGGTCTCCGGCTTTCTTTCGAGCAGGCTTAGCTGCCTACAGTTTCGGCCGCCACTCCTCCTTTATATGTTCTTTTGGTGACGGAGTGGACGGGAGTGGCGGCGAAGGTATGGGAGGTGGATCCTTCAAAATAGGAAACACAGAAGGATACACGACAGACTCGTGCTCCTTGTGAGAAACAACATGCATAGGTGATAACGATGTAATTGCACGTATTTGCACCCCTAGTTCTTATCCGTTTGAGGGGCATAGTCGTGTATTTTTGGCCTATTTTACGCCGGGTTGTGCTATTTTGTCATATTTCAGGTCCCAGGCGTCAAAGGAAAGGCTAAGCACGAGTTTCGGGGCATTCGGAAGTCATTTCGGTAAGCTGGAGCCAAAACACGGGCACACCTAAAACAGAACACGGCCGTGTTCTGTGACCGTGCTTTTACTGCCGAGAGCTAATTCGAGTTTGGACCACATTGGCCAAAACACGGGCAGGGCTGAGATAGAACACGGGCGTGCTTCACCAAAGCACGGCCGTGTTCTCCCAAAGCACGGGCGTGTTCTACCAAAGCACGGGCGTGTTCTACCAAAGCACGGGCGTGTTCTCCCAAAGCATGGCCGTGTTTGCACCAACACAATGGCCGTGTAATTAACCCTAGCCAAAGCACGGGCGGGCTGAGGCAAAGCACGGCCGTGCCCTCGACCGTGCTTTGGCCACTGATGCCTTTTTAAGCAGATTTTCAGCCAAACAGAAGGGGATTCGAGTTTTTGAGAGAGAGAACGATTCCTAGAGAGAGAAAGTGACGAGCAAGAGTTCCCAAGTGCCCTAGATTGATCTTCAACACCATTGGAGGCCAGCTTGAGCTTGGAGAAGTGCCAATCAACGTCCAGGAGCCGGAATCCGTCCTTCGCAGTATGAATTCCGTGTCTGATTCTGCTTTTGCTTTCTTCTCCATGGAGTAGTTCTCCCATTCATCTGGGTATGGAGAACCCTAGATTTGTATGTTAGGCTTTGATTGTATGAACCCAAGTACTGATTCTGTGATTGATTATATTCGATTGAGGTTTTAATGATTGAATGACTTGAATCCTGATCAAATTCCTGTTGTTTCTGCTTTAACCTAGAATGAGAATATCTGCCTAGGTTGATAGAGTATCCTTGATTGAAGGTAGGGAGTTGGTGACTTTAGTCGAGGAACCAACTCACTATTCTGTACCGGATTTACTCCGGTAGTGGAGGTTTTGTTCTTAGGGCCTCAATCTGTCTACTCCGGTGGAGGTTAGTCGCCCGCTAGAGATTCAGATTGAGAGGGTCTGAAGACCTTTAGTCGAGACTTCAGGCTATTTAAGAACCTTCCGCAATGTAACTATCATAGAAACTGAACTTGGTAATTACAATCCGGCTTAACTGCAGTCTAAGGGGAACCATATCCAGGTGACCTCTCTTAACCTAAATACAACCGTTTACTTGCTTTGTTAGTTTGTTAGTTTAGACTTGCATTCCAGTTTCATTGCTAGATAACAAGAATTCACTGAGTAGTCATCATATCTAGGACCCGGGTTGACATATAAACCTAATCCGCTATACTACGCTTTAGGAAGTGGTTTCACTTGGCCAATTCCTGGAGTGACAGTAGAGTCGAGTCAAGTTTTTGGCGCCGTTGCCGGAGATGGCTAGGTTGTTGAAGAAAAGTGATTTCTGTTAATTTAGCTTTTCTTTTTGCTTTGTTTGCTTTGTCCCACTTGTGCCTTCACGGGTTTGCTTGCTTGAGTGTGTGCAGGTAGTGCATGACCCGTAGCCAGTCGGGAGGTTTACTGCCGTTGAATCCAGAGATTGACCGCACCTGTCGCCGGCTCAGGAGACAACAGCGAGCTAGACTGGCTACGGAAGAGCGCATAGACGGCCACGTGAGCAGTGATTCTGAAGAAGAGCACGGGATGGACGGAGAGTACAATCAACACCAGGGGAATCCTCAGCAGGCTCCCCCGGTGAATCAGGTCGTGGGGAACAACCCCATACCCCAGGATCATGGAGTTCATCATCCACCGCAGCCGGGTCCCACCTTGGAGTACTACTACACTCCGCGGATTGCTGACATCCGCCCGGCCATCCTCTACCCGCCTATCCCAGCAAACAACTTCGAGATCAAGCCATGCTGGATTCAGCTCATTACATCTTCCATCCAGTTCCATGACTTGAAGGATGAGGAGGCCAGGGTACATCTCTCCCGCTTTCTGCAGCTGGCGAACGGGTTCAAGCTGAATGGTGTCCCGGATGATGCATTCCGCCTTCATCTCTTCCCCCATTCTCTGGCGGGGAATGCTAAGAGGTGGTTGGAGACCCAGCCCCCATTGTCCATCACCTCTTGGGATGATCTGGCTGATAAATTCGTGCACAGGTACTATCCGGCATCGAAGACTACAGAGATTCAGCGGGAGATCACTCACTTCCGCCAGGAGCCAGATGAGTCACTTCGTGATGCATGGGAGCGGTACATGGGATATTTCTGGCAGTGTCCCCACCATGGCTTTAGTGATGCATTCACAGTGGGGAATTTCTACAGTGCTCTCTCTCCAGACAGCCAGAGGGTGATTGAGTCTCTATGCCCAGGAGGGGATGTTCTCACGAAGACCCCACCCGAGCTGAACCAGATGATTAATACATTGGCTGCCAGAGATCATTCCTGGGGACAGAGCAGCAGAGGCAGACATTCCAGGGACCGTGGTGTGCACGCCATGGAGACCAGATCCGGGCTCGAGCAGCAGGTAGCTGAGCTAGTGCATACATTGAAGCAGCCCAACAGTCTTATTCCGGGCAGAGGTTTGGCTACACCTCCAGTTGCTCAATGTCAGTGGTGTGAGAGCTCCAATCACCTCGTGGAGGACTGCCAGGCTATGAGGGAGTCTACCACACCCCAGGAGCAGTTGGCCTTCATCGCCAATGCGCGGCGCCTTGATCCATACAGTAACACATATAATGAGGGGTGGCGCCAGCATCCCAACTTCGCCTGGAGCAGCAACACCACTAAACCAACTGGTTTCCCAGCACCAGCAGGTGGTTTTCAGCAGAGGCATCCCTTCCAGGCTCGCCAGGGGCCAGACCCACAGCAGCACCCCTACCAGCCTAGGCAGGGGCAGCCATTCCAGCAGCCCCAGCGCCAGTTTGCCGAGCCAGGAGCAGCTCCAGCCCTAGATGACAGGATGACGAAGCTGGAAAACATTCTAGCTTCATTCATGACGAGCACTCAGGCGACTATCACGAGGTTGGACCAGAGTGTAGCCTCACTGGAGGCAGGTCAGAGGAACCAGGGTGCCATTTTGTAGGATCTGCAGACCCAGGTGGGCATCTTGGCCCGCCAGAACACCACCAGGGCACCGGGGACTTTGCCTGCCACCACTGTCCCGAATCCTCGAGATCCTCACCAGCATCAGCATCTGGATGCCATTTTTACCAGGAGCGGTAAGACCATATCTGCTGATCCTGTCCCGGCCAGACAGGAGGAACCACTGCCTGCTTCAGCACTTCCAGCCGACGATGCAGAAGTGCGGGTGGAGAAGGAAGCCCCTGCTCCCAAGCCACAACCAGTGGTTAAGGAGCATGTGCCCCAGCTTCCCTTCCCCACTCGCCTACACAAAGACAAGCTGGAGACTAAGTTTGCCAAGTTCATGGCAATGTTGAAGCAGCTCAACATCAGCATACCATTCGTGGAGGCACTGTCGAAGATGCCCAAGTATGCCAAGTTCATGAAGGATCTCTGCACCAACAAGAAGAAACTTGGGGGATCTTTCGACAGTGTTGCTGAGCGAGGAGTGTTCTGCTATCCTGCAGAACAAGCTCCCCGAGAAGCGCAAGGATCCAGGGAGTTTTACTATCCCTCTTACTATTGGCAGCATGCATGTAGGAAAGTCCTTGGCGGACCTAGGCGCTAGCATTAACGTCATGCCATATAAGTTGTATAAAATGCTAGACCTAGGTGAACTTAGCCCTACTAGGATGAGCATTCAATTAGCTGATCGTTCTATTGTGCATCCTAGGAGAATCATAGAGGATCTGCTTGTTGGTGTTGGTGCATTCACATATCCTGTTGATTTTGTTATTCTTGATATACATGAGGATGTGGATGTGCCTTTGATTCTAGGTAGGCCTTTTCTTGCCACCGCAAAGGCACTTATTGATGTGCATGATGGTAAACTGATCTTGCGTGCTGGGAATGAACAGGCTACTTTTTCTGTGACTGAGTTTGATCACTGTGCTATGATTGCTGTCACGCCTGTGCATGCCATTTCTGATCTGGTACACGAGTCTGTCGTGTACCCTTCTGCACCTCCTATTTAGCAGGACCCCCCTATCATTCCTTCGCCGCCACTCCATCCAGCCTCGCCTCCGAACAAAAAGCTCAAGGAGGAGTGGCGGCCGAAGCAGTAGGTTGCTAAGCCTCCACGGAAGAAGAGTGGAGACCACTATGAGATGGTCCCACCTCCTGCACCACGACCACCCTGGCCGTCCGGGTACTCACTCGCCTACATCTTGCCGGATGGGCAGGTCGAGCTGACTGATGATAGTGGTCGCATCCGTCGGGTGCATGGCCACAACCTGAAGCTGTACCTCAAGGGCGACGTGGATCCGCTCTTGGAGGCACCTGTTCCTGCACCGCCTTGAGTATCCACCATGGGCGTCCAGCTACACGACGGTAAAGAAGCGCTTGTGAGGAGGCAACCCCACCACGGTTTGATTTTCTTTCTTGTGTTTTGAGTCGGATTGTAAACCAGTTTGGTTTTGGTTTGTTTTCTTTTGTTTTGGATGATGTCTTATTGGGCTGACATTGGACCTAACATATTGTGTTTGAGCTCTTTGGTTTCCTCTAGCTGTGCTTGGCTTGATTGGTCCTCTCTCCAGTCCGCTTCACTCCGACTGGTCCGCTTCCAGTCCCCTACAGTCCGTGCATACCGGTAACATCGTTCCCCTTTCCCTTCCCTCTTCTCCATTGAGGGCAATGTCGATCTTAAGTGTGGGGGGATGTTTATCTTTAACTGCATTAGATCTGTTTGTGTGCTTGGAGCCTAGTCCACTTTCCAAATTTTTAAATTTGAGGGCTCCAAGTACGTGTTTCCGTGCAATTGCCTGCTCAGTATGCTTTGAATTGACAGTCTTTATAGTAATGTGCAACCTAGGGAGGTAGTGTAGCACTATGGAGGATGTTGATGCATTTAAGAAGTCCCATTTCTTCTTCATATTGTGT